TTTTACCCTTTATTTGTCTAAAATACTTCTGGATTCTTCAGGTAAACCAATAATGAGCATCTAATAAATGTTTGTTGTATTCATTCTCTCACAGAACTTGTGAGATCAAGGAATGGCCTTTATGCTCATTTTACAGATTTGATAAGGCTGTGTTACAAACCTCCATGCTATGACATTCCTGGTGCGAGAATGAATCTAAAAATGTTTGTGTTAGCGGCCGCTGTGCTTTCTGTTGTGATGGCTTAGCTGTTGGAGGTCTGTGCTGTGAATAATATTGCGGTTAAAGAAAAAAGGAAATGAGAAATATTCATTTTCAGAAAGATTACTTCTTGTTTATGATGCAGCCACATACACAGTCATGCTGGCGTAGCAAGGAGGTGCTACTGCCAGATGCTTTACACCATGAAGCTATGGCCTAAATAGTATGCTCAGGATCACACAGGAAACGTGTGTCAGAACAAGAAATTAATCACAAGTCTTCGAGTTAGGCTATGTACTATTTCAGCCTTTAGGTTTGAGCTTCAACTAGGTAATTTCAAATTCATTTATTGCAGTTTTTGTTTAGACTTACCGCTTCACTGATGGTCGCCGCCTTATTCTACACATCAGTGTGTCCTACCCTTTCCCCTTTGAGAAAGAGGCTAGATGGAATAGCTTTGATTCCTTTAATAGGGCACAACTAATATTGTGAGCACCCTAAAATGCATTTTACTCCCAAAGTTTCTTTTGGGGTTCTGTTGTGGGATGTAATCTTCAGGGCTGGATAGTTTTGTGAAGTTAGTCTTTATATTATTTCCTTCCTTTTTTCCAAGCCCATATTTTAAACTGTTGCCTAAATTTGGTCTATTTGCCTGTCTTTTACACTTGTAAACACCTTAGGGGAATTCTGTAAGGTATTTGTTTTGATAGAGTAAAGTATACATACAGAAATACAATATAAACAGACCTAACAAAAATTCTGTTGGATCCAACACTAATTGTCAGTCTTGGCTGTTGTACAGGGCAGCAGAAGCCCTATGTTTTCTGCTCTGGTTTTCATCCTGAATCATTTTAACTAACCGTAAAGATGCAACTGTTTGGCTCTATCTTGGTTTTAAACATGTTTATTCTTATTAAAGTAAATTGAAATTGCTTCCTGGGCACAAAAACAAAAACCATAGAGTGTTTTGTTCACTAGAGGAATCACATTAAAACACAGAACTTGTTGATGTATTTTTCAAATCTGTCTTGGCAGAAATTGTTCATGCTCAGGCAAAAAAATAAAAAAGGTGGTGTCAAGCCTAAAACATGGTATTAATTGAGGATGTGCTGCTATGACAGAAAAAGTGTTTACTGTCTATTAGTATTTATTGTAGAAAAGCTTGGAGAACATCACTTCCCAGTAAGTGGTCTCCATCAGGAAAGATATTTTGGATAACTGCTATACCTAAGCAAGCGTCTGCTGTCTTGGGTTATGTCTCCCCTGTCAGATAAAGAGATGTCTGTTATATCAAAGGCTGATTATGTGCTAGCTGATCCGTTAGGGGAGACACGATATAGTCTGTGGAGTAAGTTAGGTGATGCCAGCTATAGAAGAGATGTACAGTTGACAGATAGCTACTTCCTTGTAAGATCATTGTCTCCATCAACACTGTGCAGCAAAACAGCTCGAGCTTATTGGTGGTTCTCCTGTGAGGCTTTCACATCACTGTTCTGCAGTGAAATGGCATCTCTCAGACCTACTGTGTACTGACGTCAGTAGCGCTGCATGAAGAGTGGCTTCACATCAGTTTGTGTAAGGCATGCAGGGGGAAGCAAGGATCAGAGTAGAAGTGTCAAGAGAGATGTAGATTAAATTCTAGGCAAATGGATTTTTATCTGAGATTATTTAATTGGAAGGAACTATAATAGAAGTGATGGACTTGCTATAAAATCAGGCAAACTCCATTTAAGGAGCATTTCAGCATTTTGAAGTTGCAACTATGATGCTACATTTCAGAGTTATGCTGAAGTTTTGTATTTTGCTTGTTCTAAAGGGTATGTCCCATCAATGAAGTTGAGTTTTAATTGTTTGCATTAAGTCATTTCTCCTCTTATCTTCTCTGAGAGTAAAACCTTACTGCAGGTGTAAACATTGCCTATAGAACACAAAACAAAAAACTTTGAGAAAACCGAGTGAAATTATAAATTGTATAAAATTCCAAGATATAATTTTAGTCAAAGGAAGGAGCACCAATTATGCTGCCCTGAACATTCTGTCCAAAAGGTTTAAATTATAAAATAAGTAGTACCTATTAGCAAGTAAAAGCAACGTAGAGTATAATTTGAATTACCATTTATAGTAAACATTTTATTGAATTGAGATTTCATAAAGGTTATTATGTTATAAATATAAATTACAGCATTTATAGAGTTATGGTAGCAATTATCTTTGATTTATCTATTAATTATCTTTGGTACATTTTAACTGTCATTTAAATTGACTAAATTAAGAAGTTGTTGGGAAAAACATTCTTAATCTTGAGATGTTAACTACTATATTCTAAAATGTTCATCTTCAAAGATGTGCAATTTTGCTGTTTCAATTGCTTTTTCTTTATGTTTTGGTTTGTTGTAAGAATGATTAGAAAGTGATGACAACTTTAATTGTGTTACCATTAAGAGCAATGATTCAACATTTCCTCATAACATTTTAACTCAGGCAAATGCGTACTGAATCCAGAATAACATAAGTCGATGGGTCGGTTCCTATATATGTATTGCTAAGCGTGCATGTTCTAAGTTGTAAATGTGGAAATAGATTCTAGACCAATGGATTTTCATCTGGAATCCATCTATTTCATTGGCAACAAAAAGTCCCAGTAGAAGTGAGACACTGAAGTAAATTCTTTAGCTGGAAACAAGATAGAAGAGATTTTTTTTTTTTTTTTCCTTCAGCTACTAGTTCTACCATTTGATCCTTATTTTGTTTTTCACCTTAGCAAAACCCTACCCCTTCAAACCGGGAAATGTGACTGTTACAAATACATCATCGTGGAGAAAAACAGGAAGAAAAATTTTGGAATATTTATTTTTTTGACCATCTGAATTATAGTGTCGCAGCACTATTTTCAAACTTGCTGAGTAGCATGTTTTTCTAAGAGCAAATATTTAAATTATAGACCAGAATCTGTTGCTTTATTATCATAACCTAATATATGGATCAACATGTTATTATTTTTAATGTGGCCAGTGGAGAGAAGAGGAAAAGAAATATTTTAACTTTTGAAATCCACATTCATCCAGAATGGGAAGAAACTACTTCACTCACTCTATTGGAAATGCTGCTAGATTAGCAAGATGAAAATATGATAAAGTTAATAGTAGCAGCACACTAGATGTATGTTTTGTATTACCTTTGCAAGACTCTCAGTTAAAAAGCAGCGGAAATCATTCTAGTGACTGCATTTCTTGAAGATGGAGAGAGAAAAACCCTTGAAGCAAAAAATAGGAAGGGCATGGTGGTTACTTCCATTTGCTGCCCTTTCAACCACACATTTAGCTGAAACCAAGAATGCATATTTAATAGAATTGAGAGCACAGAAAGGAAAATATAATTATTGGTATGAAATACGGCTATCACAAACATATGTATTTTAGAAAACTGCTGTTTAGTATGTAGTGTTGCAAGGATTATTCTATTAAATGATTTTTTCCTGCATAACTGTTACATTTCTCATCAATGTGTCTGATTATTTTGAAAAGGTAAATGAATACAATTGATCTGACATTATAGATGGGAAAAATTACAGTATGTATACACTTCACATTAGAATACTGAGAGTGCCATTTTGTCACTAAGTGGAATGAGGAATCTTAAATATATAAATATAAATACATATATAAATAGATATTTATAAATATAAATAAGTATATAAACATATGTATGTAAGTATTGTGCAGTAGTAACAGGCACTGCGCAGGGAAGGCACAAGAAACATGTTAGTTCACTTATTGGAGGAACATTCAGTCCTTCGATCTTAACATTATGTTGTAGGATTGTTGTAGGCAAATTCAGCAAGGGACCTCAGGAGGTCTCTAGTTTAACCTCCTGCTCAGGGTAGGGTCAGTTCTGAGGTCAGACCATTGATCAGGGCTTTATCCAGTCAGGTATCGAAAGCCTCCAATGATGGATACTGTGCAGCTTCTCTGGGCAACTTTTCCAAAACCTGACTGTACTTATATTGAATAAATTTTCCTGAAATCTTACAGGGACCACACTTGAGAGCAGTGATGCATGTAGCGTTGCACATTTAAGTTCGAGATTTCTTGTCCTTCCCATCCCCTAAATCAGCAATGTGTTCAAATCTTTCTTCATCCCTCTTACATGCTCTAGTGTAGTACTGTGGACATAATGTCTGTAGTGATGTCTGCCTGTATAAAAGCCTAAAGAAACTTACGGTGGAGCAGCAGCAGCTTCCTGCTTAGGCTTCCCTTCCCGCCTTTTTTTATGCTTTCGAAAATACAAATCAATGCATAATTTTTAAACAGATTGTAGAGTGAGCAAAACCAGAAGTCTGGTATGTTCATATTTCACACTAAAAGACAAGAGACAAAGACTGTGGCTAAGTTTCATAGGAAAGGCAGCATGTGAAATGTGTGTTTCCTCAGATTTCTAGAGGATTACAGTAATTGCCTGTAATGGGACCATATTTTCAAATCACTCCTTGTTCTATTTCTAAAAACTTGTCCGCCACTCAGTGAACTTCTTCAAAGAACAGGTATAGTGGCATGCTATCTTAAAGACTAGAAATGTAAGAAGTGGGAAAACTGTCTAGTGGAAGTTTGTATACACTTATCGCTGAAGAATAATTAGGTACTTTCTGACTTTTGTCATTTTTCTTATTAGGTAAACTGTACATTGGAAAGAAGCGAGCCACTTATAAACTTTCCCAGCTGTGTAACTTCATAAAGTACAGCACTTCATCAAAGCAGATCCATTAACCCTCTGACTGATATTCTTCTCTTGGCTTTGATTGCAGCACCACACAGAAGCACCTAGCCCGTCATTGCTACCCCCATCAGCTTTACCATTAGATGTATTAAACAATGCCGTTGCTGGATTTAGTACTGTGGAAGAACTTATTCGGTACCTTGAACCAGATCGGTGGCAACTGGATTTGGAAGATTTGTACAGGCCAACGTGGCAACTTCTTGGAAAGGCGTATATTCATGGGAGGAAATCAAGAGGTAAATTACTCTTCTGTCTGGCCTTGCAGCTTTCTGTGGGTGTGTTTTCTGAACAAAGAAACAGTAACTAAGAGCATTCTTCACCTTGAATTTTAGTTCCAAGAAAGGAATATGTTAGAAATACAGCAGAGATCATTGTTGTTAGCTATTTTCACCATTATATTATCTGAAAAAGAACAGTAACTGAACTCAAAGGAATTTAGCAGGATAAAGTAACAAAGGGGTAAAAAAAAAATAGAAGCAGACGGGGTAGTTTTCTGTAGGGAACCTGGGAGATCTTTATTTCCACAAAGTAGCAGGGAACCTTGGCTGCATGACATAATCTAACTTTGTGGGTTTCTTTTTTTACAGAGGGCAAAAACTTTGTTTTTTGTTTGGGGTAGGTAATTTCTTACACTTACTGTATCATGTGAACAATTGGTTTATTTCCTTAGAATTGTTCCAGTCTCTACACCATATGAATTGAGAGCAATTAGCTAATTGTTTCTCTTCCATGATACCCCATGAAATCCCTGTGTCCATGTCCAGTTTGATCATGCAGTTGTCAACTTAATGAGATGTAAAGTAGATTATGTATTTCAAGACTTGTGGAGCTATTTCTTGTTCAGCAAGCCAGTTTCTTCCATCTACATTTGACATTCATGAATTTTCTAACACATATCATCCAGATGCTGCCCACTATTTCATGTTTATGGATTCCATGTGGATGGATAGCATGCAGGCAATACCTCCTTCCTTGCCCACCATACAGCATGAAAATGAAACATATGAGCATAACTGAATAGACTCTTGTGTTGACAGTCGTAAACTAGATTATCATCTGTTCAGCAAGGAAACGGATGAAGTAAAACCTTTCATAGCTCAAATTTAAGTTTTTGACAGCTAATTCTTGGATCGGAGCCTAAAAATCAACCCTTCTACCCTACCTGTATTGCTACAGCTACGCACACAGCAACTAAATCAAGAGTCAAAGAGGAGGAAATCTCTTTAAAAGCTTTCAGGAATGGACCATGCCTTTCAGATATTCATTTAACACTATCCTAATTAAAGAGATTCAGTATTTGCCAAATCTATGCCATAAGCCTACAGTAAGTGGGAGAAAAACAAAATGTAATTTATGAAGCCTTACATAAACTAAAATGCAGGTGTTGGATAACATCTATATAGACAAAAGCAGCTCCCTACAAGACATATCTTAGAAAGAAACTATCAGAGTAAATCTTTTAAAGACTACTAATTAGATGTTGAAATAGATTTTTCCACTGAATAAACATATCACGGTATTGCCACATTTATCTTTAAGGGACCACCCTCAGACTGCATTACCGAGTGTGTAATGTAATAGCCTGAGGCGGAAAATATGTCCAGTTGAGATGACATAGTATTAACTGTTAGGTCTATTCAATAGATAGGGAAAGCAAACCTTTTTTTTTTCCTTTTTTTTCTTCTTTTTTTTTTTTTTTAATGTTATTCCTTCTAGTAGTAAGTTTGCTGCATTTAAAAACCTTTTTAAGAAATGTTTGGGAGAAGTGCAGACCTAAAATGTTTGATTTTTTTCAAACTCTCTGATTCTATAATTAGATCAGTTTTATTTTTGCAATATTTCAGTGTAAAAGCTAAATTACTGTCCTGCTTTCATAGACAAACATCAGTTTACATCTAGATTAAATGAAAATGTAATTAAGTGTATGTTACTTTATATAGAGAAGAGAAGAATATTGTCCTCTACTCCTACTTAATAATTCATATGAAAAAGACTATATTTAGACAACCTAAATTCCACAGAACTTCTGTGTCTGATGTTTTCTCTGGATAAAATGCTTCCAAAAACTTCTAGCCAGGAAAGAAGAAACACCAAGTTCAGAGGCTTTGATGTCTAAATATAGTCCTAAACTCTTTTATAATATTAAACATACTTAAAAATAAAATGTTTTATTGTGCAAAAAAATGATCCCATCACTTCCCACAGAAATCTATGTATAATCATTAGACCATATTCTGAAGCCTGCTTAAGAAGAAAAGAGTCACAATCCAACCGTAGTCATTAGTAGATACTTGTCTTGTATAGTTATCTGACTTTTTTTTTTTTACTCTTCGTTTGGGGTTTTGTAAGAGCCCTGTCCTATTGTAGGTGCCAGTATACATCTCCATGGTGCTTAGAAATGAAAACCATCCTGCTGTTATCTGTGCCGACACACAAGTGCCTCAACCAGAATTTAATTTGTTTTGTTGACTTTGAGAGCAGCATCCAGCTGGAAAAATGTTTCAGGAAAGAGGGTTCCCCAGCGCACTTGATAACATCCCAGAAGATGCCAGACAGTTGCGTTGCCAGATGCAGAACAGTTACTTTCAGGCTGGTGTGAACATGGGTTGCTTCAGTTGTATGTGCCAGTGAAGGCAGGCTTTTGAAATAGACTTTATTGTAGACCTACCTGCATCTACATTTCCCTCCCCTTTTTTTCCTTCTCCCCTTATTTTTATTTTAGTGTTTCCCATTCATGTGCTACTGCAGAGACTTCCATTCCTCCTGAGCTAGTGCTAGACAAAAGAACTTTGACTGTTGTGTCAAACATGATACATGAGTGGAAGCCAAGTTGAAGGAGTGTTTAAATGTTCACATTGTAACAGGTACTGTAACTCAGTGCACTTGGGAAATCCACATAACCTTTTATTGTGGTTAAGTAAACACTTTTAAGGGAATATATACATTCTCTCATCTAACTTTGTGCCCACAGTGCGTTAAAATAAATTTTGGACAGACAGATACTCTTTGAAAAAATAACAGCTTCATTCACACACTTCAAAGAAGTGATTATATAAGCACTAGATAAATTTGCCACAGACCTTTTAATGAAATTGAATTACATAAGGTAGGGCAAGGGTTCATTGTGAGGTATAATAGCAATATACCTTAGTACATTGTAAAGCATGGAAACCAAACGTGACATTTTTCATCTCTCCTGAAGCCTGTTATAACACTAAGGCACACTAAAATCTGTCTGCCATGAGGTGATGATGTGTTCTTCCACAGAACCTTTTTAAAATTTGGGTCTGCAGGTCTGAGGGGTTCAGTTCAAATTCATTCCAATTTTGTGACAAAATGTGTAATACACTTGCTGCTCCTTTTAGTGCATTGCCCTTCCCTCTATGTTATAACTACAGCTAGTATCAGGAAAGGGATGCGTTCCTCAACTGCTCTCAGTAGGCAGGAGGTAACAGAGAAGCACAAAGCCACACAGGCATCTCTCCCCCACTGGTGGGTGGGCTTGCTGGAAGAGGTATCAGCACCCAGCTCCCATGTTCAATTTCTCATGGTGAAGGGCTGAGCAGCAATTGTGTTAGGATGCATAAGCTTAGCTTCTTGAAAGTCACTGCACCAAGCATGTCAGTCTCTGTAGAAATCTACCAGTAGAAAGTATTAGCAGAGCTAGCATTTCTCTCATTGTGTTTTAAGTATTTTATCCTCCTTCAGACAGTTGACTTATATGTTTGAAAAAGTAACAGGAGAAAGAAGTACTCCATTCCTATCCACAGTCCTTGATTAATGGAAGTAGACATGTCCACCCTCTAAATGACTCAGCCTAGAGCTATTAGCTGATCAGAAGAGCTTAAATAATTTCTAATTTCTCACAGTGAATCTCTCCCCCGGAAGTTTTGTCTCTCTTTTCCTCTGCTCCCTTCTCAGCTTTCTCCAAGGAATGCTCTTGCAGCGTGGGAGGCAGGCTGGCGTCCTATCAGTAACTTTATTGGAGTTATTACACACTCCTTGCTTTTAAAAATCAGATTGTTTATTTAGGAGCCTGTGTTAACCTGATAGTGATGGAATGAAGTGCCCTAGCTTGGCATTTACTCTAAGTGCAAGCAGAGAAAAGTCTTCAGTGTGTTTAACTGACCTTTCACAACAATAAACCCTTACTTAGGGATACCGGTATATGGATATGGTCTGCAAAAGAAATGTTTGAAGAAACATGGAATGAGATTGCTGCCCAAAGATCTGCTTCTGGGACAGTACTAATGAGCATTTCTGCTAAAGAAATGCAGCTTCTGAATTCTCTTTATTTTTTATGTGTTTAAATAGAATTGAAAGGTATCATCTTGCCTTGATAGGCTGAAGTTCTCCTTGGTGACCTAGAGGCTCTTTACATAGCCAGTAGAGGGGAAAACAGGTATTTCTCTAGAGGGTGATTCAGATCAGGAACATATTTTAGCTTTATTTTATAGCTTTTTATTTACAAACTGCTAGCAATAACTATAAAGTATTTGTCAAGTAATATCAATGCACTGGGATTTTTTTCCGTAGTTTCTTCTTTATTTAGCTCAAAAACAGTTGGTTTAAAGCTCTTTGCTGCTTAGCTTGAGACCTGTATTTCAGTCATCTCAGTAGCCATATTATCATAGGGTTTTCTTTTTCTTTTTTTTCTTTTTTTTTTTTTTTTTGTTTTACCAGATAGAGTACCCCTGTGAATTAGACATTACTTCTGTTCCTTAATGGTGGTAGGTTTGGAGAGAAACCGTTCAGACAAAAGGTCCCAGATTGTGATCACTATACTCTTTTTTCTTTTTCTTTTTTTTCTTTTTTTTTTTTTCTTGTTTTACCAGATAGAGTACCCCTGTGAATTAGACATTACTTCTGTTCCTTAATGGTGGTAGGTTTGGAGAGAAACCGTTCAGACAAAAGGTCCCAGATTGTGATCACTATACTCTGGCTTTTCTGAAATAAATGAAATTACATTGCTTTTTGCCAAAGTAAAAAATGTATTAATTTTCTCACTAAACCAATCTCATTTTTTCCAGTCTTAACTGCCTCTTTCAAGGCCTGTTATTTCTTGGCTATGCAGCTAAGGGAAACCTGAAGGAGCTTGCCCTGTTTCGGATCTTTTCATGAGCTTGCTGTTCAACCATTGGCATAGTGAAACTTTAGTGTGATACAGTGGAAGCGTTTTATAGGGAAACTGCTCCCAAATATTAATATCTTTAACTTGCACTTCAAGTTAGATGCTTACAAGGAGAAGCTGTATTTTATTTAAGACACATCAAGTGAAAATGAAACCTAGAGAAGCAACAGAAATTCATATATGTGCTGCTATATGAAGGAGGAGGGGAAAAATGGAGTCTACTAATAGTTATATAGATGCACATACTCATGCACTTATTTGTTGTCTGTACAGTATTCACTGATAATGATAGAACTTCTTGAAGTTCTTAGTCCATAGAAGTGAGTTCCTCTTAGAAATAAATGGTTTGATTCTTTTTTATACTTACATCGCCCTTGCAAAGCAATGATTGAAATTTTAATAGGGAAGAAGTTTGAATGCTTTATGCAAATGAATTAGAAATGTGTTTGGAGGTTTGCAGGATTCTTAATTGCTGTGTGTGTTTCTCCAATCCAAAATTAATACAGAATAGCAACACTAGAGCTCAGAGTATGAGCGTGAACAAAGGGAACTCCATTAGAGTTGAATTGATAAAACATTTATTGGAACATAGTAGCCAAAGCTTGCTTTGTTTTATTTAAACCAACTCTGCCAGAATTATAAAATAATTAGTGAATACTCCTATACAACGATCATTCCATTTAGGTTTCATGGTATTCATATAACTGCAGTATGATACTTGTGTGCTAAACCTGTACCACCTGCACAAAAATGAACTTTCCTCAAGGGGTCTGCACTGCTGAAGTTGGTTTACCACCAATGAAGTTGGATTAAGAATGAGAAAAGCACCAGTTTGTTTGTCTTTTTGCAGTGGTCGATCTCAACCTCCTAAAGGAGGAGGTGCGGCTATATAGTTGTACTCCTCGCAACTTCTCAGTGTCACTGAGGGAGGAGCTGAAGCGAACTGACACCATCTTCTGGCCATTGTGTCTTCTGGTTAAACGTTGTGGTGGAAACTGTGCTTGTTGTCATCAGAGTTGCAATGAGTGCCAATGTGTACCAACAAAGGTCACCAAAAAATACCATGAGGTACGCACTTTTTTTACATTTGCATGTTTGGAAATACTGAAAGCCAATTAAGGAATTTATTTTTACTATAGGAATGCACCAATATTAATATTTTAAAATTTTATGTATTGCATTTATAGTAAATATTTTTTTACCATTTTAATGAGGTGTTACGTAAAAAAGTAATATCTTTCTTTTTAAAATATTTTTCTGCGGAACTATTAAGTCATTCCTCAGGTATTTGTTTACTGGTGCAGTTCAGACACATCACAACCATACCTCCTTGTTCAGCTTTCTCTAGTGGTAGATGTGAACTTCATGAAGGAACAGATATCTGTCCATTTCCATTGTTAAATAATTTTAGCTATAGATTTATATTATATAATTATCTGATAATTCCATTGGGTTAACTATAGTATCAGCCCTTAAATAAAATTAAGTAGAAATATGAAACTGTAAGAATCTCTTCTTTGATAAAAGCAAGTATCTGTTCAGCATGTTTTAACCAATTTTGTAAAGGGTTGAGCTAAAAGCAAGAATAATAATTAGTGAGTGGAATAAATGAAGACATCCAACTGAGGAAAGCCTATTTCTTTTAATAGGCTTCCTGTCATCCGGTGTGCTTCCAGTGCAAGCTAGCTCATAGTCTAGGTGTGTGATGAAGCACTTGCCGTTTTCTTGATGCTTGGCTGCTTCTCCTTCAGGTTCTTCAGCTGAAGCCAAGGACTGGCGTCCGGGGATTGCATAAGTCATTGACAGATGTACCCTTGGAACACCATGAGGAGTGTGACTGTGTGTGCAAAGGGAATACTGAAGGATAAACGTGATTTAATTGTGCTGTTTTCTTTCAAAGCACATTCAATCAATGGCTGATTCTATTATGGGGCTTGTGCATTATCTCCTTCTGTAATCTCAGTTGTTTGCTTTGGGGATCTTCCATCTTCAAGATTTACAGTGAGCTCTAAAAAGAAGAGAAGCCAAACTGGGATTATATGTTGTGTGACAGCTCTATTTGGAGGCCCAGTGAAAGGATGGGAGAAAGGCATCAATGAGGGATTTAAAATATATGTATTGTTTTTGTCCCCCACAATTTTCTTGACAATACATGGATTTATAATTTAGGAGTAAAAATAAAGTTAGAAGGCTCACATCATGGAGACTCGATCCTGCTGGCTGTCTCATTTCTACAGCTCCAGTACATCTGGCCTCTGGTTGAAAACACCTGAAATCAATCTTTCTGTGTTCAACTACTCCTATGTACTCTAAATCGAAGCATTATCTGTTGTATAAACTTGGGTTAAAACAGACTGTCTTGTTCCGAATTAAACTTAATTTGTCTAACGCTGGTAGGAAGGACTGGATTTTCCCATATGCTCTAGTAAAGCTCCTGCCTTTTAGAAAGAAGACTGGACAATAACGTGAGCTAACGAAGCAAACATTGAAAAGAACAGCGCCTTTATTCTTACTACTATGGCTGATGATTTTTTTGTTTGTTTGTTATTTTTTATCGTGTACATTTTTATACTCTCCTTTTGACAATATAACTATTTGCTTTTCTAAACTTGTTAAATATATCTATTTTTACCAAAGGTATTTAATATTCTTTTTTTATTACAACCTAGATCAACTATTTTTTAGTTTTGTGAGACTTTAAAGCCAGATTTATACAGTTGGAGGAACAGAGATGTGGTTACAATGGGAAAGGAGCATGATTTCTTTGCAGTTTGTTGCTATGCAGTGAAAAAATACAATTTTTTACCTGGATGCACAGTAATAATAAACCGAGATTTGTGGATGAAGCTCTAAGCTTGCTAGCTCCATGACACTGAAAATATGAGAGACAGACGTTACTGTAAGTGGTTTCAGAAGCTGACTTTAAAAATTCCCGCTCACCATTCTGGCCTTTGTTCTGGTAGAAAAGAAATGAGCATAGATAGATGCATTCTGGCTTGTTTAACTCTTTGATTTCTTTAAAGTAGGATGATCTGCAACGTAAGAAAAGCAGCCCAGTGGCTTGCAGCCTTCATGATGCATCATGGTCCTGGGAAGGCAGCCTTGTTAATGTTGAAGTGTATGGTTTTCCATTGATGGTTATAGCTGTTTAATTACTGTTCACTCACTGGATCGTAACACTCTTCAGTACAGTTTGATGAACTATGGTTTTGTTCTTCTGTACATTATATTCTTTAACCAATACACTTATCCCACCCTATGCAAATTGAAAAGGAAACAGTAAAGTATTTTGCTTGTAAAATGCTTTAACATTATGCCTAGTTTATTTTTTTGACTATTGGATTTGCAGATTGTAATGAATCACCAAATAAAGTAATAATGCTAATTTTGGGAGAATACATGTTTCTGTGTGTTTGCGTATTTGTATCTGTTCGATAGACAATAACAGGAAAAGTTAAAGAGGGTGATTTTCTACTTACCATTTTGAAAGTCAGTTATGAAAACAAAAGTCTTCTGTTACAAAGACTTCCACTTGCTTTATTAATTCTGTTTCACTGTAAATCTACAAGAAGAAAAAGAGAAAAGAAGGAATGTGGTACTATTTGTATAAACATTCAAAATGTTCAAAATTTTGTGGATGTGAAGCCATCAAATTGAAATAACATCTTCTGTTATTGTTTCCATCATGAAAATGAGTTCTGATGAAAATGTGGAGGTTTTGCAAGTTGGTATGACTTTCTGATATCAGTTCTGGAAAATTCTCAGGTGGCTTCTGATTCTGTCTTAGCTGGTCTGTTTTGCCCCACCCTCAACCTCCTACTGAATAAGAAAAATATCTGGAGTAAATGTGGCATATAATTATCCAGACTGAACATTAACCCTGTTTCAGAATGCAGAATTATGGTCACACAAGAAACCTGGTTTACTTGAATTTTGAGTCTTTGGCCAGAATAAAGAGTGTTTTGCAGGGATGTTGGGGATTTTTTTGCATTAATATTGTCCTTTTTTTGTGATATAAAGAGCTTTTGAAAAGCAAGTTGAGATAAAAACAGAAATCGTAGCCTCTGGCACCATAATTCAGCAGAAGAATTGAAAAGTGTCATTCTGTTACAGAAATTTCTGCTGTAGGAAATGCAGAAGGCCTCATCCTCTGTACACTCGTTAGTGGAAGAAGGCATGACATGCATTTTGGGGTAGGTATTTGATGGCAGCGGAAGAATGGGGAATTTCTAGAACTGTACAGGGTATGGAGGGTAATGTTTTGCAAAAGTCACAAGTATTTCTTCTGTTGCCCCCCTCTGGCTTTGGCTCACTTTCTTCCTTGCCCATTTCTTGCACCGGTTTCCTTCCCAATTGCTTGCTATAGACCTGCATTTGAACTCCTTATCCCTTTGCTCTTTACTTCCCCCTTCACAGTGCTGACTTTCTCATCTGATCCAAAATCACCATCCCTCTTGTTTGCCATCCTCTTGCCAAGCATTGTTAAGCTCTTTCCCGCCTCCTTGGCTCTGTGCTGAAGCTGTGTCTTCTCACTACCACTGGCCAGGCTTTGTTTTTCCACCTGCCCTCAGATGTTCAGGGGATTTAGCACTCCACCTCTTCCCTAGTTTAAAGACCATGGACGATGGGATCAGTCGTTTTAAAGGAGGGGATTTGGGAAAGATACCAACCAAGCGAAGCAATGAAGGGTGCAGTTTTCCCGCTCTGTGCCCATGTCCTCTGTCCTGCTGGGTAGAGCAGCTGCCCCGCGGCAGCGGATAACTTCTGCTGGTGATCTGATGGGACACACCCATGCGGCGTCCTGCCTGGGTGCTGTAGGCTTGGTCTAGAGATCCTGCCGAGTTCGACGTGGTCTTTGCATCCTGAAGAGTCTTAAAATGTTTTGAAGATACCCTTCTGACAGCGCAGGGGAGCTGCTGTCACAACAACAAATCATGTTAGTGACCTCCTGTTGGCGGGAAAGGCTGAGCTGAGGTAAAATATGCGGGATGAGGCAAAGACAGGTGAGGGGGTGTGAGTGGGCCGGGCCAGGCCAGGGCCGCTGGGGCAAAATACAGCAGAAAAGGGCAAGAGAGAAACGGTGCTGATGGCCGCGGTCTCCTAATTTGCTGACAGCTCCCCTGCGGTGAGGCCTGTAGCTCCCTGACACCTTCCTCCCTTGGGAGGTTTCGTCAGCCCCAGGTGCAAGGCTGCTCGGCAGGCGGTGCGGGGACGGTGCCAGCCGGCGGAAGGGATGGAACAGGGGCACACACAGCTCTGGGTTTAATTGGGATGCCTTGAACATTGCTGGTATTTGGTCTTAAACTTTCAAAAATATACTTGATATAAAACTTCAGAATTGCACATAAGAAATGTACTTATTATGGTAGGTACAGTTTTAGCATAAAGGGATTATTTCACACTATACTTGAAGAAACAATTGCCTAACTCTACCTCTCCTAATTTGCTTAAAATTCCCCCATTGAGAGGTTTTAATTTCTCCCTCTAAAGATTTTCTTACCCAAAGATGAAATTTTTCAGTCAGGTGTTCTGAGGAGCATAAACTTCTTGCGGCCTCGAGGCGAGCCAAGGCTTGTTATACCCACAGCTACACACAGCATTCAGGAAACGCTCCTCTGAGGGTTTTGTTTCATTGTTATTGTTTATGTTCTGTTGTTTCTAAGAAAAAAAAGTGTGGTAAAAATAACTGAAGATATTAATCATGAATTACTAACAGGCAAACAACGGTGCCTTTCACAGTTACAGGTTATCGCAGCTGAATGCCAAGGATGCCGTACGTGTAGAAAAAGGTTGACAAAAATGGTTAGAAAGCCCATGATTTTCAATGTGGAACAGAAGTTGCAAGCTTTGATCTTACATCTTTGTGGAGATTTTTTAAAATTGTTGCTGTCTGTTTTAAGCCGTGAGTTGCCGAACTACATTAATGTAAGCATCAATGTTTGGGAATAAAGAGGGAAATGGCTGTTTCCAGTGGGCCTAAGCAGTGGAAACAGCTGAGTGGAATAAAGTAGCTCCTGTAAACAGACAAAATCCAAATAACGTAGGCTGCATTTTGTAGGTTTTATCGTATTCCCAATAAATGGCTTCAGCTAAAAGTAATTATTCCCCCCAGAGGAATAGGTGGGGAGCTGCCGACCGATGGTGAGCCTTGTTTTTATGGATTCTGTAGATATTCACATTCCTGGAACCCTCCTGTCAGCCGTGGCCAGCATGGGAGTGATGTGGAGCGGCACCAAAACTTTAGTCACCAAGGGCGTTAACCGTAGATCTGTTGGCTCTTAAACTCCTTTAAGTTTCCTTGCTCTTTGTTGGCCCAGTTGCACAGGCTCACAGCTCCTTTTCAGCAGAAGAGGAGAAAAAAAAAATGTGGATGATTGATACAACAGAGTGTGTGGAGGGGAAAGACAGACGGAGGCACAAAGCTACCTTATTTAGTAGCTACTGCATCAGCTAATGTAAGCTGTTACCCCATTTCCTTTCTAACGGAGGACCATATTGAAACTTTTATAAATGTGCAATTCAGATACTAGCTGCTTAAATAGTCTCATTTTGATTGCACCAAACTCTGGAAACAAAAATTGGAAACATTTAGTTTCTGCTTGACTTCTGAAGATACAGTAGTAGTGCTACTGTTAAAAGCTCTCTCATAAAACCTCATGCAGAGATGCTAAAAGAATCATGATTGCAAGATTCTCATTCAAACCAAGCTCTGAAGCTAAGTAGACCAACTTACTTTTCTGATGCTGCTTGTGATACGATATTTAAATTAGTTTGAGTAAATTTGCTCTTCATATCGTTTTTTGCACAGGATGCTTTATCAGACAATTTGCCTTTCAAACTCCTTTCGTCCACCTTTTAAACTCAGGGACAGTGGTTTTGTTTGTTTGTCTGCCAAAATCACAGAGTAAAAATACAGCTACTTTTTTCAGCAGAAATTGGACAAAGCTTTTCAGAGAAGACAGTTTGCCTATTGCCTCACTGGAACACCCCTAGATTGTTAAAAGAAAAATAAGTTTACAGCTCAGTCATGGGAGAAAGATGACAGTTTTTTTTAAAAGTGTGATTCAGAGCATGTAAGCTAGATTCCTGCTCTGAATCATGCTCTGTGTCAGTCTTTATTGAGCTCATCTGTCTTCATCAAGTATAGTCAAAGCCTGGCCCTCACAGTTGAGGCAGCTCTCTTAGATGCATGAGGTTAATCAATGGGAATACCCCATTTACAGGCCTATTTTCTGAACAAAACATATCTTTCTCAACTAAGAGTCTCAAGAAGTTCTGCAGCCTGGAGTGGTTTTCTGTATAGCTGATTTGGCAAGATTTTATTTTGCCTAGTGAAGTAAAGGCAGAAGTGCCAGTTCAACTCAAGCCCATTCTGCCTTCCTCAGATCCTGCGGGGCTGAAGGCAGATCCAAACCAGCTTGGTTCTCGTGTCTCTCCTGTTCAGACTGGGTGATAAACCACGTATCTCTTAGTACACTTGCTTTTCTTTCACTGTGCAGAATCCTGGTAAGTTAACAAGGTTGGCAAGAAAACTTGTTTATCATCTGTCTCACTTTGTCCTGTTGCAGTCATATCCGCAGGGTGTGCTTTGGGATCTCAGGCAGCACCTACATGAAACTCATTTAAGAGAGTAGGCCAGTGAAGGCCATGATGTTTAGGGTTCTTTTTTGAAGAACAGCATGACACAGTGATCAGTACAATTAGCAACTCTGTGACTTGAAAGATTGTAAAATGAGCTGCATCATTTTGTTTAAAATGCTTCATTGAGAGACTGACAAAAAGAAAATAATCTTTAAGCTTTGATTTCATTCAAGTTTTTC